AACATTGCTTCCATTCATAGTTTTCGTCCGCTATCTTCAAATCTGGAACAAAAATCGTTCTTATCTGAAGCCCTCAATTACATCTTTACTGGTTTCTAAGATATTACTCTTAAACGATCGTATTCCTGGGAGCTTTTGTAATTCCAGACTCCTATATTCGCTAGATTAAATAAAAAGATGCTGAATCCCCAATTCAGTGATTGTATCAAGTACAAAACGAGAAAATCTACAAGAAGTCACATAAATATTTTACTGATGACAATTCATTAATCACAGTTCTTCTGCATAAATATCCTTCATGGGTTTCATGAATATTGATTGAGTGAGAGTGTGCTTAAGAATGTATCACAAAAATACCTGTCTCTGTACAAAAACATCTGACAAAACATATCATAATTTGATACTTGGATCCATTATAGTTTTCTGAATGTTGAACAATATCTTGTTGAAGATTACTTTATATTCAAAGATTTCATAGGGACACTTGCTTTATCTTTAAGCTGAAAAATGATAACAAACAATAATGGAGCTAATTGTGGGCAAAACAAACAAGGACCAGGTTGGATCAGAGGCCATTGGTGGAAAAACGTCTCCATTCACTTTCGCTGTGCGTCCTTTGTTCTGGTCGAATAAACAGTGAAAACGTAATGTTATTCAATGAATTGTAAAGAAAACGAATAATAATCAATCACAAAGTCAATTGAAATAATTCAAATTGGGAGAATATATAGCGAACACGGTTTGACAATATTTGAACATATTTGACAATATAAGAGATGGAATAAGGTGTAATGGAAGTATAAGCATTCCCTGTCGACCTGATCTACCCACTTTGCTTGACCAGGAAAACGTCACTCAGCATTTGACTTATATATATATATATATATATATATATATATATATATATATATATATATATATATATATATATATATATATATATATATATATATATATATATATATATATACTTGATACAAATGTAATTGTATCGACCACAGAATTTTAGAAATCTTTTCTTTAAAGGAGATTAGTTTTTCTCTTAAAGCTTCAATCTGTTTATCAATTATAGCCTGACCCATTTAAAATGTTTGAATACAGAACATTCTCCTTTTGTTGAGAATGAGACACACAATCTCCATATACAGGGCATTATCCTTTTTCGCTTTACAAATAGGGAGGTTGAAAATAAAAAAAAAGTTGAGTTGTTTTTACCCTCAGTGTTTCCTCAAGTAGAATATCCTAATAGGCAGCAAATGCACCAATGTCATTCGTGTCTTTAATTTTGAGGTCAACAAAATACATTGCTTCAGTGCCATACGAATAAAAAACAAATAAAACAAGTTTGTTTATAATGGACTCAGTAGTTCCCATGGAAATCTTTATATTATAGTATTGGAAAACATGGTTCCCAAAGATCTTGTCCATGACGAACACAAACAGTTCTAAAATATCGGTCTCAAAGTAATTGTATGAAAAATCTAATTGATTTTTTTTACTAAGTTTTCAAAAAACTAACGATAAAACAAGGAAAAATGAAAAATTCTATGATAAATAAACTTGTCATTTTATGGAGAAAGAGGACATAAGCTTTAAAAGTATGTCCAATCTTTAATACTTAAAAAATTACAAGAAAATATATTAAACAAAATTTCTTGATCTTTTTATCTAGCTAGACAACACAGAAAATATGGTACATGTAGGCAAGTGTCTGCAAATAAATGTTCTACACGTCACATCACATACCCGTATAGCTTGACAGAAGGTAGATAAGGACTACTTGAAGTGTCACTTGTGTGCAGCCACTTAATGATTATTTTGTTATGTAGCCTGTGTGGTATGCAAAATACATACTTAACTGGATCACTCGGTTATGTCATCTGCATCACATATCAGATATATATGTGGATCACCTAGCGGCATCGCAAGTGTATGTTGGCAAACAGGTCGGTCATTTTGTTGTGTCGCGAGTGTCATATCAAAGATATATTGATCACTTTGTGTCTCCTTATAGATTGTTTTGTGACATAGATTGCATCCAAGCATTGTGAATTAATAAAACCTTCTCTCGGGGTTTAAAGTAACATAAATTTCACTGGAAAAAATCGGTACATATATAAGGTAATACTTGAGAATTTTCCATATCAGTTATAAATATTTAAACATAGAAATTTTGGTTTGATTTGAACATATTTTATTATGTAACAATTAATAAATGGATTGGGCAGCAGGCATAGCCTATATAAGCCCTCTGCATAGAAATGTTAAGATGAATACGAACGTATTCGAAATAAATGAAAAAAGCTGAAGTTAAAGCATTTCGGCATGTGCCAGTACATACCACACAAGCTACATAACGATATAATCATTAATAGAGAACATGATCAGTTACAAAAGAGAAAAAAGCTGGATCTTTTCGTTAACAAATTTATTTGTTAAGAATTAGGACTCTTTATCACCTATAGTCAGTAGAACATTCTAATATTAAAGAGATGTTGCAAACTGGAGTGTATTTTATTTCAATTTTACTGTAATAGATCGAATCGACAAACTTACATGCATTATTAGTGATGAAACATCGATGATATATCTGAATATCGAATTGAAGGCTATAGCTAGAGTTTTCCCTTCTCCTGCAGTAGTGTTTAGATAAATTCTGCTCTTTAGGAATGTAAAAAAATGTCAGTTTATAAAGGCCGAGCATAATAAGATCACATCGCAATTTCAACAATTTCTTGGAAAACTAAGTCTCTGAAGACTACATAAATGTGTCAAGGGGGAATTTTTTAAATATCAGCTTCATGTGTGTACAATAAGAGCGTTTGTTAACAAAGTAATTTTGCATGCTTTCGCGTACCATATCAACTTAGAGATATAGAGATATGAACCCCGTATGCAAATTATGAAAGTATATTGCTGCATAAATAAGGGAAGTTAAAGGTTAAAAGTCATCACTTTTATCATAGAGTTTGGTTGTAAGATTACCATTAACGGCTTTTTCATGTAAAATATCCAAATATGAAACATATGTGTTAGTCTCTGTGGTATTTTTATCTCAAGCTCTCCAGGATATGTCGTATCGACATAAGAATGGAAATTACATAAAAGTAAAGAAAGTGACAAGTTTTGAAATTATAGACTTTTGAAAAATGCTGATATTTTAGTTTCTACAAGTTCATTCGAATTTTGAGGATCCAAATCTGGTTTACACCAATAGAAAGGAAATGGAATCCAGGTGTGCAAAATCATAAATGTCAAACTTCGCTAAATAACATCTTATTAGAAAACAACAAATCAAACAATTTAATTTAATCATTTAAACCCAAGTCGTGTTTTCAATTGTATTTACTAAAGATATAATATACCTTAGTTGGGGTATCAGGGTTAGGCGTATATTGTTTTTAAATCTCTTTTTTAAGTATTATTGCCTAAAAACATGTGTTTGCAGAACTTCAAAGTGTTTGTTTTAACAACATTTCTAATTTTATGCCTTTTAAAAAATTCTATAGAACAATGCATGTTTTAACAAAAAATTAAAGAGGTTCCCATAGATACAAAATTGAAGTTGTAAAAATAGATGACTATCAAATATCTGAAGAAAGAATGATAATATTTAATTGAGGTCTATGGAGATATTGAGCGAAGAAAGAGAACTTGGACATGTTTCTTCTATACTGTTTAATAGTTACAAATAGGAAGAACATGATACGAACAAAGCGCCACAAAGTGTCAATTTTAGGATCAAAATAAGAACATAAAGGATGCATATGCAAGAGCAAATCAAAATTACATAACCTTGAGAACCATAGAAAGTTCAAAGCAACGTATTTGTATTTTAAACAAGTTGGTAGGTCTGCGCTCATTTTTTTTTATATAATTCATTTTGCAATTGAGGAAATTTTACCAATTTATTTGGACACTATTGATTGAACATATTTTTACTTCAAAGAATAAGTGACAATAATTGGCTATTTTTATCATATCTAATAGTGGGTACATGTATATATAAAATATTGATATCAAATCTAAATTTTCTAAATCAAATATGTTTACATAAAACATATGGTGATAACAAACAACACTTAAAATCAAAAGTCCATAAAACAATACAAAACAGGAAGAGAGCAGAGCAAGCGGACCTCCAAAAATCAGAGGTAGGATTAAGTGCCATGGAAGAGTGAGCTTCCCCTGCCGACCGGTCACATCCGCCGTAAGCTCCTTGTAATGATTGGGAAATACTAGAAAATCCGTCGTCTATTCAGTGTATAAATAATGGACTAACAATAAGTATGAAAAACCTCAGTCAGAATTTGACTCAATGATAAATTGTATTTGCTGTCAAGGTCATTGTAGCGACCATAGAACTTACGAAATGATGACTTTAAACGAGAATGCTGATATTCTTGTTTCATCAACTTGTTTGTTAATACTTTATCTCGTTTTAGAAATTGTTATAGTAATGGAAGTTGACGATAGAAAAGTTAAAGTCTTCACCTTTATTATAGCGCGTGGTCGTTAGATTACCATTAACGATTTTTTCAAGTAAAATATCCAAATATGAAACAGATATGTCAGAATCTGTGGTATCTTTTATCTCAAACTCACAAGGATATATCGTATCGACATAAGATACATTACAATTGTTAATTGACAATACGTCATCGATATATCTAAATGTCGAGTTGAAGACCACAGCAAGTGTTTTCGTCTTCTCACGCAAAAGATTTTGCACAAATTCTGGTTAATATGAATAGAAAAAGGTCTGCTTATTAGCAGTTATTACGTTATTAGCAGTTATTACGAGGCACAATTGTCAAGAATTGAGTCAAAGGAGAGTTCGAATATAAAACATACGTATTAATTAATTACATTTATATGAAAATACACTATAATATAATGTTGAAATTACTGAACATTTAAATAATCTTTAAGATAAAATCACATTGCTTGAGGGAATATTCCATGATACTTATTCCTATACAAAGAGCTCGGGTCTGCATTTATATATGTTGTACAGCATACACTGAGTTGGCTGTCCCTCCTCCCGTAAATCTCTTCTCTGGATCAGAGGATTCGGTCCCGTCATAAACTGATACACAAAATTCAATCACATCGATTAATTACATGTAGTTACTTCATAGATAAAAAATTAACGAAAGATATTTTGAAAAAGAAGACATAGATCACTTGTACTTACCAATGCAATCAATATTTGTAGATTTTGTTGCCACTTCCGGTGAGGTTGAAATATTTATGGTGTATTTCTCCTTTGGTTGCTCCACACTATTAGTTTCAGGATTATTATTTGATACACAAGAACCAAATATCACTGCTTTTATTTTGAGTAGTCCGAGGACTGTCTCCTTCCGCAGCAAAATGTAGATCCACGGGTCCACTATAGAGTTAGTGACTGCTAATCTCAGAACCAAAAGTTCTACCGAGCCATTTGAGTTCATCAAGTGACAGGCATGTGCAAAGATGATACTCTACAAAAACAAAACAAAATTCTAGACTATTTAATCCGTAACGAGTAAGTGGAGATAAAACATTAATCGATCTAAAAAACAACCCATTACATATCCGAGAATATAAAATACGGTCTCCTGGAAAATCAAGAAATGGTGTCAAGGCCTGGAAGGAAAAACATCCTTGTTGATCGGTTTAATCCTATATGAGGATTATGCTTTTTTCAGGTCACAATAGCTACATACTTTATTGTCTTGATTGAAAAAAGTGTAAGATGTAAGTTTTAAGAATGATATGTTTATAAATAAATCAGCTACAATAGAATTATAATACCGTATGAGTGGAAATTTAAGCGAGACGCAAATTTAGCGATTTGTCCTTAAAAATTAGGGTTTTATTTTTGGCGAAATGTAATTTTAGCAATTTTAAAAAGTCACTAAAGAAGTTATTAGAAATAAAGCGCAATTAATTTTAGCGATATTCAATTTTAGCGATCTTAGCACCCTCGCTAATAATGCCAAAATTAAAATCTCGCTAAAACTACTGATATGGTAATCAATTGTAGCTTTAAATAAATAGCTAAAACAAATTTATAACAGTTATATATCAATCAATTGTACTTATTGATAATGTACCTACGATCAATGGTGCCCAACAAGAGCTGAACACAATGACAATAACGAGAAGAAAAGATACAATAAAGATGTCGTTTTTCTGCCGCCGTTTGGAGCTATGGATGTCTGATTTCATGTTCCTCACAAGTGAGACAATGACCGCAGTGTTAACTGAAATTGTGACAAGCAGAATGAGAAAACCAAAAACGGAGTAGATGTAGGAATTTATCCTATCCAGAGTATCCATTTCGACAAAGTTAATGAAGCACCATGACTTGGGGTAGTAGTTAAAGCTAGAACCAAGTCCAATCAATTGGAGACCTGCGACAAGTGCCCCTATGGACCAAATTATACCCAGCATGATGTTGGCTCGCCGTCCATTTTTATCCGAGTTGTAGACAAATGGGTATAAAATGGCGACAAATCTGTCAAGGGACATAGCACACACAATCATAGCTGAAGAAATCAAGGTGAATGTGTATACAAAGGAACTGTAGTTGCATAGCTCCTTCGGAAAAACGTATGTGAAGTCCGAGGCATACCGAACCATAACCGATGGATACACTAAGAGAATACCTCCACCGTCTGTCATCGCTAGACCTCCTACAAGGCGATAGAACGGCCGCCATTTGTGCTTCTTTGATGATGTCACCAATACCACGAGAGCAATGATATTTCCAATGACCCCGAACCCAAACTGTAGCGCGGGAGGAATGGCCGACTCCCACATACTCTGGTCCGATGTAGAATTCTGTAAAACGGTGTTAGATTTATTGTATTCCATCTTTTCAGACCCTGAACGTTATTCTAATCACATGATTTTCCTCACTTTCTGCCAGCAATATGTTGTCGAAACCTTAAATTTACATCTAAAATCTGAGCACAATCGATTTGAAATTAAATTTCTTCCTGGTATTTATGCTAATCCTGAAACAACAGACTTATCAATGTGACGTCATAATTTTATATGGTCAATATTTATAAAAAATGACAAATTAGGAAGCATGATGAAGAAAACATACTAGATGAAAAAATTACAAAAAAATATTGCTTCCAATGAAAATTAAAATTATAATTATCTAAAATCTATTTTTGGAAAACCATGCACCAGTTTTGTATTTTCTGATACCTAAATATGTAGCTAATTAATAAACAAAATCTATATTAATAGTTTAGCGGCTGTTACGTGACACATTTTCACTCTAACTGAAATTTATATGTCCACAAAATCAATAAGAACGCTTAATTGTGACGATAAATTGTCCAGAAGGTCACTTAATTAATTAACTCTGTTAAACACCAATCAATCATTTAACTGCAATAACATTCAAAATCTGCGATGGAGAAATGTTTAAACGAAACTAAAATACACATAATTAACCAATCTAACACCAAATAAAATATTAATTTCCTGCAGGTTAAGACATTTTCCATAAGAGATTAAAATTGTTTCTGAACGTGCAATGGATAAAATAGATTTAGTATAAAACGCCGAAAAAGGATTCATTAAAATACAAATATAATTCTTTTTTAATTTCCAAGGAAGAAGAATCATTTTCAAAGTTGGAAGATGATTTGTATAAATATAAGAAAGGAGCACATTAGTTTGAGCGTTCTTCTTACGTAGACTTACTATCAGATGGTTATATTATTGACACCAATGTGCACAATCACCACCAAATTGACAATGCATGGGTGAGTAGCATTTTATATAAACAAACATGTATTTATAGCCAAAAGACTGAAGATTAACCATGTACTTCATCATTTGTTATGTTGTTTTTGTAAAGTCTATTTTCCCATTTTAAACTATATTCTTGCACTATTGGCGCCTTATTCTTGTTTTAGATAAAAATACTATGCAATGCCTGAATCCACGCTGCATCGATATGGGTGAAAATTGTGTTTATAGAATTTATATATTTTCTACATTTTATACAAATGTCTTCAGGAAAATTAAAAAATTAGGTTTTTAATATCAAAGACAAACTGCTTCTTCAATGATAAAAAGGGTAGAAAATTTCCTATCTTGTTTTTAGTAATCAATGTTGTGGAGATCCATGTTTGATCTGCTCCTATTTTGTATTGTTCTATGGACTTTTGAGCTTGTTATTTGTTATCCCCATATGATTCATATTTCGTATATCAGAAACAATGCAAAAGTTCTTTCCACAAAAGGGAAATGGATCTTCAATTTAATTGCAGTAAACATTGTATCAAATTTACTTAAGATTGCATCAATAGATGGACGAGAAGCCCTTTTGGAAAAAAAAGATAAGACACTGTGTAAAATAGGGAAAGATTGCGAATTTTTAAAATGTTTTGTTCTAAATAACTGTTCTTACTGTAATTTTGTTATTTTTCCTGAAATAGACGTAACATCTTTTTAATAACCGTGTGGTACATGGTCGGAATAATTAGTGTAATGTCATCAATATGTTTTCAATGGAAATCTGCCATACCAGGAAGGGATACCGGTCACGTGATTCATCGCTACCAACCAATAGGAATCTCATCGTGCTCGAAGGAGTGTCTGATAAGGAGAAGCTGTGCTTCTGTTAACTATGATTCTATGAATCTTCTTTGTGAGCTTGTTGGCCAGAAGAACAAACATAACCCATTACTTGACAGACATTTCAAACACATCAATAAGATTGCAATGCATAAAAAGGTAATCTACTGAAAGATTTTTTTTCATTCAATCAATTAAAAATTGCAGAAAGCTGGAGTACAATTATTATTGTAAGCTTTAAAAACATAACCTAATTAAATACTTTTTAATAATATAAATATCGAAAGGTTTCTAAAGTTTTACATTATATAGATGCACATTGTTAAGAAAAGAATACTTCAGGTCTTACTACAAAATGTGTCCTTTATATTGGTAAGATACACACGGGAGTTTGTAACGATGGGCTCTGTGCAGTTGGTCAGAGGTGTACAGTGATAAAACATTCGTACAAATGTGTCCAAACGGGTAAGTTGCGATATTAAATGCCTGTCCCATAAATATTACACTTTTAAAAGGTAGAATTCTTCTCACATTTCTTATATTTAAAAATTAATGAAATTTTCACAGAATCAAGAGGACAATATCACTAAGTTATGGTATCAAGGAAATTAAATTTGACCGTTTAATATTAGAGGCTAGGTCAGGTCAAGGTCATTACCTATTTCCTGGACATTAAGAATAAAAAGTTACTGTTTCCAATCATGCGATCCCTACTTGTAATTCAAAAGATTGAATGTTTTTCTTTTTGCACAAAAAGATACTACCATATAGGGCCTATAAGATGATATTACCAAATTGACATGGATATTTTAAATAAAATGGATATTTGGTAATCCGAATTTCCTCTACTTTTCTTAATTTTTTAGGATTCATTAGTTATTTTTTTTATGCTTCCTATATTTAACTTTTTCTAATTTTCACATATAGTAAAGTTGACACATAAAGGTACAAAATGATACAAGAACTAAAAGTTTTGATCGTTTACTAAGAGAGAAATAACACTTTTTACGGATTTTTGGCTCAAATCTATACTTAGATTTGAAGCATTTAAAAGGCAACATAGTTCTAGTATGTGTGAAAAATCTTATTTATTTGATATATTTTGAAACTTTAGTCCCTTATTATTAATTTAACTTACATTTGAAAATTTTGTCTAGTCTTTGTTGCGTTAAATTCATAACTAAATTCAATGTTCAATAATACTTTTGAGAGGCAGAAAAGAAGATATAATTTTAATACGCCACCATTCCGCCAAAAATATAGTCCCTGCTAGTTTTCAAACGCAGTTTACCATTTCTATTTAAAGTTGTATAATTGTGATGAGAAAAGAAAAATATGGTCTTTTAAATCTCTTACATCTAAATATATAAAACATATCAACAAATGTACTTTGAATATTCCATCTAGTCAGAAACCAGAGAAGAATCCTACCTTAAAGAACTTTAATGTTGCAACTTCAAAACAAAGAATTAAAAATGTTTATGGAACTTGTCATTGTTTCTTATGATATCAAAAGTCTATCCACCCTCATAATTTTATGGTTCAAAGTATAAAAAATGCATTTTGTATTTGAAAAATTGTTAAGTTAAATTTGCCAATTATTTCAAAAATATGTATCGGCCGCCATATCATTTAGTAAAGGAGGCATAAATAATTAAAAGTATATATCAACATTTAAAAAAGTTGTTCATTTCTGTAAATAGTGTCACATCAATTTTGTAAAAAAAAAACAAAAAAACAAAAAACAAAAAAAAAACGTTTAAATGCATTATTCTAATGCTGAAAGTTCCGGAAACTAGTTATTGCTCTTGTTAACATTTTTTAAAGATTGGTCATTGATTAAGGAAGAAAATATACATTTTAAAAATACTTTTTCCTAACGATGTTTATCATTACACCTTTTCAAAAGAATTCTTCCAAAGGATATTATTGTATTTGGCGTGAATGTAAATAAATTAAAGTTTTTGCAAAAACTGGACATCACAGAAGGATGGAAATACCTCAAGTTAGCCATTTTTCTTAGACCTGCATTATAAAACACATTATACTTTCTTATACAGAATGTTCACCATTAAACTATGGGGGAGTCACACTACAGGATTCGAGCACAACAGAAATCGGATCTGAGATCAAAATGGTGTGTGAAAATAAAAGAAATATATCAATACCCATTTCCTTTAGATGTCTACCGAGCGGCAGGTGGGAAAACATGGATCTTTCACTTAACAAATGTAGTAAGTGAACTAACAAGTGGGGTTCAAAAGGATATACATGTAAACGCTTAAAAATATCATGGTCATTTTTATTTGTTCTACTTCTACTTCTTTACTTGTAAGAGGTCTCCGACCCATCACACAAGTTCCATGTCAGAAAAGAGGTGCATTTTAAAAGTTACCCTCATGAGATAAAATATATGGGACCTTAAGTTTTATTCATCGCAAATATTTATTATATCAATATCTCAGAGGCTAACATTCCAGTTAAATGAGCAAAACCACCCATTATCCTTAATTTGATAATTCTGTATTTTTCCAATCCGTCTTTCTATGTAGAGTGTATTCAAGTGGAGGGATTTCAGATGAGTAACGACAAAATGTCTGACAAATGCTACAAACCAGTGGATCAGGTTCAGACGTATAACACAGCTGCGGAAGGCTGTACAAACTTAACCCGTAACGGTCATCTGGCTTTTCCTCTGTCACATTCTTCCAAGACATTCGCATGTAGACTTATTACTTGTAAGTAGATGTAATATCATGTTATTTCGTCCAATTATAAGGATATAGATTCCACGTTTGAAGTTATTAGGTTTGTAATTAATGGCTTCAAAATTAATTTAAAAAATATTGCTATATATACAAGATGTGTTTGTGAAACACTATGCGCCTGGCGGTAACAAAATTAAAAAAACTATTCTTAGCATATAACCCGGTAGGTCACAGTCAAGGCCACGAGGTCATTGACCTTGGTGTCATTTGAAAGAACTTAATTAATGGAGTATGCAAACTAAATATGAGGTTAATGGTTCAGAAGATGTGGTGAAGGTATGAAAAAGCTATTTTTAGCATACAGGTCACAGTTAAGGTCACAAGGTCCTGGTTTCATTTGAAAGAAGTTAATTAGTGGAGTATGCATACCAAATATGGAGTCTCTATCTTCAATGGTTTAAAAGTTATGGTGAAGATTCAAAAAAGCTATTTTTAGTATATAGGTCACAATCAAGGTCACAAGGTCATTGTCCATGGTCTTGTTTAAAAGATTCATTTAAAAGAGCTTAATTAGTGGAGTATGCATACCAAATATGATGTCTCCATCTGTCATGAATCAAATGTTATGACGAAATTTAAAGTTTGCTGACAAACAAACAGACAGAACAAAACAATATGCGCCCCGGATCCATCGATTCGAGTGCGTAAAAATCTTACATGTTATTTTTTTCATTGTGAAATATGTCCAACAATAACAAATGAACAAGAAGTTGTTGGAACAAAACACTTAGCAGTCTCAAATCAAAAGTTCTATCAGGAAATACAATCTATCATTAAGTCAAATGCTGACTGACGTTTTTCATAACAATTGATTGGGCCATAAATTACTCTGTATTCACTGCATTGTCGACATTTTTCGTTGTTTCCCGTTTATGACAAGGAGCTCACGGCGTGTTTGACCGGTCGGCTGTGGATTGTATCTCCTCAATGGCATCTGATCCATCCTCCAATGATCTGGAGGTCCGTGTTTGTTCTGCTCATATTTTGTATTGTTTTATTGACCTTTGAGCGTGGATACTGTACATTATATCCATACTTTCATCAATATTTTCACAATATACAAAATGATGAGGTCTTGATTTCATTTTTATCTATTTTAAGCTTTTCCAGGAAAAGATAAGGTACTATGGACCGGTGGTGTATGGATAAACACTCACACAATTGTAACAACATTAAGTCTGGGTAATATCTCCGCCACATCTGTCTCTGGACTGGGAACTTTCATGGGTGCTGGATGCCTTGTCCTCAACTGTACTGATCTAAAAATGACCGCCCAGAACTGTAACACTCGCCTACCATTTGTGTGTGAAAAAGATTTTAGTAATATCAACTGACAAAAAAAAAAAAGCGCAATACATCAATTAAATCTGTTGACATACTGTCATGTAATATATAAAGTGCAAATTGAATTGGAAAGACTGAAGTAAAGAAATGTACTTTATACATGTGCGTATTTGATAATAAAAGCAATACCATCTGTTTGTTTTTCAAAAAGAAATGATTCAGAAATAAGGTATCATTTTTTGTGTTTTATAGGTATGTAAAACGGGTTGGTCACATGATCAAATCCCCTGAAGCCCAATGGGCTTTATGAAAATTTGATCATGTGCCAACCTGTTTTATATCCCAATAAAACTTAGAAAAATGATACATTATTACTTATATTTACATTTGTGACTGATTTATTACAAATAGCAAAGTACCAAAGTTCTAAATTCATAACGGATTTATTATTTTCAGATTTCAACAGTATAGATTGAATGTGTTGAACACATTGTTGTTGAAGCTAGATTTCCTCCCTGTCAGTGCACATCTGCAGACTTTTAATTTTGTAAAACTATCCTGATTCTACTACCATTTACTATGGTGTTAATAAATATTGTTTTTCTTTTCGGTGATGCAGGGAATGCTCACTCCTTTATGCCACCCGATCCCACCTTAGATGTTTTAGATGTCCGTGTTTGCTCTACTCCTATTTGAAATTGCCTGATGGACTTTTGATCTTGAATTCTGTTTGTTATTTCTTTATGTTTTACTTCATATTTTTCATTCATATCTCAACATGTATCTTATCTTTGCGATCAGGCCTTCAATTATTTTTGAATTCTAATGCAAAGTAAGTGTGCATCATTATCAATAAATAAAGTTTATTTAATATGTTTTTCAAGAAGGATATGGAAATAACGAACAGTATTCAATCTCAACGTCCATTAAACAATATACAAAATAAGAGCAGAGCAAACACGGACCTCCGAAACATCAGAGGTGGGATCAGGTGCCATGGAGGAGTGAGCATCCCCTGCTGACCGGTCACACCCGCCGTGTGCTCGTTGTCATAATCAGGAAATAACGGAAAAAATCCGTCGTCAATTCAGTGTATAAATAATGGACTAACAATTGGTATGAAAAACGTCAGTCAGCATTTCATTCAATGATAAATTGTATTTGCTGACAAGGTCATTGTATCGACCATAGAATTTACGAAATGATGACTTTAAACGAGACTGTTCATATTCTTGTTTCATCAACTTGCTTGTCAATAATTTACCTCGTTTAAGAAATTGTTCATACGTAGAGCATGCTCTTGCGTATCGAATCAACTGAGATATATATACTCCGTATGCAGGTGATGAAGGTATATTGCTGCATAAGTAAGGGAAGTTGACGATAGAAAAGTTAAAGTCATCACGTTTATCATATAGCTTGGTTGTTAGATTACCATTAGCGTCTTTTTCAAGTAAAATATCCAAGTATGAAGCAGAAGTGTCGGACTCTGTGGTATCTTTTATCTCAAGCTCACCAGGATATATCGTGTCGACGTAGGAATGCGATAAATGTAGAAGTCCTACTGTAGTCCTCAACGTTTAGCGTAATGCGCATCCAAACGTTAATAAATACAGGGATTCGTCATATCCCATTGCACTCGAAACAACCCCCCCCCCCCAAAACTGACACTTTTTGATTCATTTTCCTTAGTTTTGTAGCAATATACCATATGCACAGGCAAATAGGTTTATAACTCTTATTTGATGCTATGCACAAAAACAGGGTCTATAAATTAAAAAAGATTCTAAAAGAAGGCAAGGTCAATTATGAGATGTTTTTGCAATTACAACTGATTATAGATCAGATGTTGTTACAGTTCAAATTTAGCTGGGTTTAAAAGGAAAGCTGAGATCCTTGTGACATTAACTTATCAGTCTTGAGCTTGTTTTTTTTATTTTGAAAAATTGTTCGTGCTCTTGCGTATCGAATCAGTCGAAAGGCAAAAACACCTTATGCAGTTTATAAAATATTTCTACTTCGGATGTTTTGGGGGTCCGTGTTTGTGCTGCTCCTATTTTGTGTTGTTTTATGGACTTCCGATCCTGAATAATGTTTGTTATATCCATATGTTTCATTACATGCGGAATATTGAAGACTGCAAAGTTGAAGCCATTTTATGAGTCCTTCAATTTTCTTGTATTTGTTAGTTTGACAAAAGACATTAAATGAAATATTAAAACATCTCAATATGAATTAGATATGACAGAGTACGTATTGCCTTTCAATTTGAGCTTACTGGCCGACATTAAAGAGGGGAACAAAATATTGGAAATTTGATAACATAAGTTGATACATTTATACATAGCCGGTATTTACCTCTTCAAAGAACCGTGTAAAAAAGACAATAAACTCCTGATATTGAGATTTACATGTTGTAATACTTTTTAATGAGTACGTTAAGATGACTCCATGATAGGTTTATGCTTGTTTTTTAATACATGTACAATGCCATATTTAAATTCATTTACAGTGCATTCATTTATTCAGATAAAAAAACCACCATGCTCAAATACATATACTTTATATATAAAAAACAATATCCCAACACTATGTTATTTGATTAGTTGCACTTCCATATCGTTAATTACCAAAATAAAAATCTATATGACATGAAAATGTAGTGTAGAGATATCATATATTTAAAAGTGTTTTTTTTTTATTTCTAGAAATAAAATGAAACATGCAAGAAATAATAATTAAACATGATTTGGTCATTTTTGATGACATAATTAACAAAGTATTTTTTTAAAAGAAATTTAAAAAAAAAAACTAGAGGTACTGTGAGCAATGAGCTCACTAAATAATACCCCCGCCTCCCATATGAATATAATGGCAGCAGTATCCATGTTTTGCTCTGGAAAATCCAAAATATATGTCAGATCAAAAAGTAAAATAGAAGGTGTACGATTGCAATATGTAGTAAAGATTCTGTGAAAGTTTCATTAAATTTCCTTCAGTGGTATGAGAGGAGTTGCGGATAAGAGATGGGTGCCCCAAAGCATAACAGACGGACGGACGGACGGACGGACGGACATATCAATTACTATATACCCTCCCACTTTTCAAGCTTAATAAACCCCGACGTCATAAATGTACCTGTTGATGAAATATTGGTCGAGCGAAATAAAAAGAGTGACTACAATAAACAGTGATCGATCTGGCAATATAAATCTGCTATCAATACAAATCCAAGTCATAACGCCTTTGAAGGGTTAATTTCCTACCTTGAATGGTAAAACCATATTTCACCAACATTTATTTTTAGGTCGATTTCATAGTACAATTTTGGTATAGATGGAATTAAAAGGGTTTTCCAAATTTCATCTAACGTGATCCTATACAAATAAAAGCATATGACATGTTGTTTCAATAGGATTTTTTATTTATAAAATTTATTGTCTCTGTCACACAGTTTATTACACAAAAATGAAAACGAACACTTTCAGGACAACATCATTGTATACTGTCATTAATATAGGTAAGTTTAAATTAATTTCAAAAGGTTTTAAAATGTTATTAACAAATTTAACGCAGAAGATCTCTGTAAATGTTTTTTTTTATGTTCGTAATTGAAGCATTTTCCAGGATTAAAAGTTGAATGTCCTCTTAAAACTTAAAATTTGGATCCATTTTTAGGTCTTTAAATTTTCTAATATATTTCCTCAATTCAAAAAAATGGGATGCCTTAAAATAAGTAGTGTGAGAAAGCAAAATAGTGAACAAGAAAATATACCTGGAAACAAACTAGAAGTACTGTGAGCAATGAGCTCACTAAATGATACCCCCACCTCCCATATGATTATAATGGAAAAGTCCATGTTTTGCTATGGCCGGAAAACCCACGATATGTGTCGGATCAAAAAGTAAAATAGGAGGTGCACAATGGCAATATGTAATAAAGATTCTGTGAAAGTTTCATTAAATTTCACTCAGTTGTATAAGAGGAGTTGCGGATAAGAGATGGGTACCCCAAAGCGTAACAGACAGACGGACGGACAGCTAGACGGACGTACAGACGGACGGACATACCGATTTCAGTATAACCTCCCACTTTTCAAGCGGGGGGTATAAAGATGAGGTAATTATAAGTTGATCAGTTGAAGTAAGCATACCGTGTTATTCTCTTGAGAATCCTTTGTTTTCATCAGAAAATTTGCGTCATTCTAGTTTCAAACGGTACAAAACATAAAAATGACATGCTATGATATGTGATGAAGAAGCATTTTTGGTCTTTAGCAAATCAAATTTTATGGACTTAAATATGATCATGATAATTTACAGAATGTAAAGTCTTGGAATTATGTTTCCTTCATCTGATACTTATGTATGCATAAACTGGTTTCCCGCCAAATTACAAATAGATCCTGGAAAGTATCCTTGTTTTCTCTCGATAGCTTTTTGTCATATATTGTTAATTGTAAACAGTTGTTGAAGTCAAAGAAAGACCTAGTGTTCAATTATTACTGGATGATTTGTTAGGTATTGTTTGCTTTAGCTTGTAGAAATGTTCAAAATTTTATGAAGTTAAAGCATTCCTCATATTCCTCCTCTTGTTACACTCTTATTTGATATCACTTGTGGACGATATGAATAATTTATGTATATTGGACACATGTGTTGTTCATCAGTTGCAGCACTCTTAAGTGTAGGTGGTCAGAAGACGCCCGAAAAATGTTTTCCACTTGATCGTTTTCGTGAAGGACGGCTTTTAGGCTGTGTTCTCCGTAAACTAGAGAAGGTGGGCCCGTTATCTTGTGTAAAAGAGTGTCTCCTTAGACAGAGCTGCTTCTCTATCAATTACGACATCCAGGCCCTCACCTGTGAAATCAACTACGCTAATCTAGGATCATGTGGCTACTCTCTAAAAGATAGTGATGGGTATCTATACATCGAGAAACGGGACATGCAGCACATGGTAGGTCTTAAAATTGTCATTGAACAGAAATTTTGTGATGAAATTAAACATTCTTGCAGAGTTTAACATTATCATATACTAGTATGAGATTTTGTTGGGACTTTTGCAAAAACTTACATGACCATATCAGATACTGAACATTACAATCACTAGTAATTAGATAACGAACAGTTTTTCAAGCTCAAAGTCCATATCAACAAAACAAATCGGGGACAAAGCAAACCAAAAACCTTCACAATTATTGGAGGGGAGATAATTGCTTCAGGGGAGTGAGCAACCGCTGCCGACCGATCGCACCCTCCATGGCATGATTGAGAAAAACGGAAAATTCCTAGATGAAACCTTAAACGGCACTCATTTTAAATCTATGATAGATTGAAAGGTGTCTTTCAAATTATGTCTAATAATTGATTTTGTTATTTTTGAAGGTCAGAATATCTCCATGCAAAACTACAACGTGTGGAGAAAACCAGCGATGTGAAATCCTGGCCAGTGGTTTATTTCTTTGCTCCATAACAGGTAAAAAAAGAAAGAACCAATGAAACAACATCACCTAATACTAAAATTATGGATCTTAAGAGCATTTATTATTTTAAAAAGAAAATCAGTCCTGTTTCACTATATTTGAATGTACAGTCAAAACTGCCATAGCGACCCACTGTATTAAGCGACTCGCTGTCACATGTGACCGTAAAAAATCCCCCCAACGCTTTTCCCTATATATTCTACCTGTATTAAACGACCATCTGTCTTACGCGACCAACGACTGCGATTTTCCTGACCATTATTGGTCATTTCAAGCAATTTTACTTGAATTTAACGACTACATAATTTCCGATTCCTACTTTCGATTTCGGTGGAGCATGCTTCGTTTTTGGTTGAAACCAACTACATACACGCTTTTATTTTATTTGATAATTATATATTGCAAGACTTTCGAATAAAACAACATTTAAAAATGAATATTTTTACTTACGCTTTGATATTTATTGAATAAACTTTAAAATCTAAAACATAAACATCATGATCACGTTTTTCTGTCCAGTGATCGAGCGCCATTTTGAAAATAGACGTTCGAGGTCGATCCTGATATAATTTCATGCTATAAGGGCCAAATGGATATTTAGCTGTAAAACCTGCCTGTTTAACTTTAATTAACAAGTAACTAAATTATAGATGTTTATTTAAGTGCATTGTCACCAATGGGTATGTAAACACACGCTAGCTAGCACCCACACCATGTGAAAATTGCCACGGTCACAAACAGGCAATTAAACACGGTAGTTAGGTAATGAAAAAAAATTAATTAGGTTAAAGAAATACTTCAGTCACAAAAAGAATTTAATTTGATACCAATTGCATGACAAAAATCATGATACAGTTTTTATTCTTAGTAATATGCAAAACATACGAAGTTATATATATATGCTATTATGTAAAACAAAACAAAACAAAAAATATATTATGAGGGGGAAAAAAACTTTGCAGCTTTTTTATACTGTATGAAAAATATTAATAATACTAGTATTTTCAGATGTTCACAATATTTCCCAATATTCAAATGACTTAATCATGTGCGGATCAAGAATTTTTTTTCTTAACAGGATAATTGTAAAAGCATTTTAGAGTTGAGTAGTACCTATTAAAATGTGGAAATAAACATAAGGTGTTGTAAAAATACATTCAACATGCACATGTGACATTTCTAGCATTGTATATTTGAACACTGCGGAAAATAAGCAACCTGTATTAAGAGACCACCTGTACGTCATATGTGACCTTTTTTCCTTTCTCCGTTGGAAGGTCTTTTAAGGCGACCATAATTTGATTTTTAGTTTTACGGATTTTTTTTCAAGAAAGGTCAAGTCGGAGGACGAAAAAAAAAAAAAAAAAAAGACAAAAATCATTCTAGCAACGACCTTTTTCACATATAAAAAGTCACACATTTCACTGTAGTATAAAACAAAACAATAAACAACTTACAAGATATGTTTTTTTAATATTAATACACATTACTTGTATAAATGTTGTTATTTATAAAAATGACAACTTTTAATTCAAACATTGTTTAATATGAGTACCATTTAATATTTGAAATTATATAAATTTAATTATGTTCTTCACTGTATAGTTTGCACATTCATTTGAGTGTCATTTGAATAATATTCAGGGTAAATATCGAAGTTTAACTTGGCAATTAAATGAATTAATAAAATTCTGCTGCAGATGGTCTGAGTTTCCAGCTTTCAACTGATGGATGAAAGGATTTTTCTCATTATAAGGAGCAAGAGAACTGTTTCCTGGATTTAATAAAGATCTGAAATTGAAGGAACTGGATGTACCTGTTAGCCAAACTTAAAACTTCAAACATTTTAAAAAATTACATCCGTAATCTATTGAGAATGAATTAGATAGATTCTTAGACACTGCATTCTTTTTTTTTTTTACTCTTAGTACATATGATATCAAAGCATTATTGTAGTCCTGTTCCAATCTGCTAATATTATATTTTGAAATTCAGAAACTTTATTACCCTGTTTAGCTACTTAAATTCAAAGAAGTCTTCTACAGGTACTGTCAAGTTGCTCTGCAGTTTCAAGGGCTTTTATATACTGGTGTTGATGTAGGATTTGCTAAGTCACTGAATCTCATAATACGCAGTGTTCCCTCTGCAGACTCTTTATTAGTTACCATGTACTTGCTTTCATTTCCTCTTTAAATTAATAATAAAGTACTATAGTTTATGTCTTTCCTGGTCACCGTATTATTTATGGAGGAATTGTTTTGTTTTAGGCGCATATAAACTTGTTTGCAGCAAAGTATTTCATATCGTTATTTACCGCCCTTTTTTGCAAAATTTCCACATCTGGTATCTCTGTCTTTGATAAAAAACACTTTTTATGAGGATAATGAGCAATTAGAACTGCAATTACATCTGGTAGCACAGTTGACACCTTGATTATTACCTGTTATCAGTGGCAATAAGCAGATTAGCTACCGGTAAACACTGCATGACAGCCATTTTTGTTTTGACTTGTCGGTATTTTACAAATCGAAGAAGGTAAAAAATCCGGATATTTTCGAAATCGGTAGAAACAGCAATTAAAAAAATAGAGAGAGACATGCGATGGGGAGGTTTCAGAATTGGTAGACTCTCGATAAAATCAAAGTTGACAGCTCACCTTCTTCTACCATTCTGCACATGTGTTTTTTTTTTACGTTTCTGACTGATTTGCTTTTATAAAACACAGGTTTGACACGAGCGGATTGAAAAATTCCGATTTTATTTTTTTTTTGAAATGCAAATTTTTAGAGTCGGCGGATCCGTAAAACTAAAAATCAAATTATGGTCGCCTAATACAGGTTTGACTGTATATTTTATATTCGTTTGAGTGTATTTTTATTTCCTTACAACGATGTACCATCCTCGGAGAAATTTTCTTATTACTAACACATTTTTTATACTCAGAATGCAGTGCTGAAAAAATAAATGGCCACAAGGCACACCGACAAGTTAGCCACCAAACCTTATCTGTCGGAGAACATTTTTCCTATCATTGTGACCACAACGTGAGACACAAGGTCACTTACCAATGTCAGCAGGATGGCACATGGAGAAGCTTTAACAAATCACTACAACGATGTGGTAACTGAAAACATATGTAACAAATAAAAATGAAAGAGAAAGCTAAGTATTTGCAATAGTAATACATAAGAATTCATACAGAAAAAAATATAGGTCACAGTCAAATCAGCATTAGATATAAAACGCTTTTTAGAATGCTTGAGAAACGAAGGTTATGTCTACAGTGAAAAAGAAAATGGATGCTACAGATTTTTTAAAGAACAGAAAACCCACAATGAAGCCGTGAAGCATTGTAATTCAACATTGTCTAATAGTCATCTGTTTCTTGGAGAATCTTCAGAGAAAATTCAAGCTGTCATTAATGACGTCATACGTAAGTAAACTTTCCGTTCTAAATTAAACATACTTAAAGGTATTGTTTTTTACGTTGTTTTGAGGTATTTTACATTTTCTTATCTGCATAATAAGATATCTCACTTAGTTATTAAGCAATCCGCATTAAAATCTTTGGTGTAATTTTTTGAAGTTGGTTTACACATGATTTCGTTTGTCTAATTTTTTCAGCAAAATTCTATGAGCAACAGTTTGTTTGGATTGATGGATTTTATAACAAGAGAAACAAAAACATCTTGACTTACAAAGGTCAGTTTGGAGTCGGACAATTTGAGGAGATTCCGGAATACAAGAGCGTCGATTTTCATCTCTCAGGATGCCTTTCATTATTTCCTCATAAGCTTCCAGGGCATCATGAAGTTTTTATTAAAACGGAATGCAGCAGTAAATTTTATTTTATTTGCGAAATTGCAATGGTTTCAGAAGTATCATAAAGTAAAATAAAACAAAGGCCATTTGTATAAAACATGAGAAGGATTTGGAATAAAACACTTTATTTGTATTATAATGTATAACTTACTTTTTATTCATTATTAAAAAAAATTGGATGTTCAAATACGAAATCAAAACATTTTCACCGAAGTCTACTGTAGGTTGGTATATGGAAAATTATTGAACTTGTAATGAATAAGATATTGAGTTGGCAAACAATGCTCAAATATACTTTGAATAATAAAAATCACGAACAACTTTAGCAATCACAGACTACGTACGACTACTCTGAGGTTGATATTGAAAAGATGTTGTCATCCGAGAGATGGCCTTCATTCAATTTGATAATGAAAAATTAATAAATTGATGAAATAATGATGAATGATATTTGCTTCTTCAATAGCCAATTCATTTTTGTGCTCCAATGCGTCAGATTTCATTGGTTAACTTCCCTTACTTAAGTATAAATATACTTTCATCATCTGAATATAGATATGATATCTATCTCCCAGTTCATTCGATACAGAAGAAAGTGCTCTATGTTTGAACAATTTTTTAAACGAAGAAAGTTTTTCAACGAGGTAAGTTATTGACAAAAGTTTTAATGAAAGAAGAAAATCATCAGTCTCGTTTAAAGTCATCATTGCGTAAGTTGTATGATCGATGCAAAGTCAAATGCAGACTCACGTTTTTTTATAACAATTTTTAGGCCATAATTTACAAAATATCTATTTATGACTTGTCGACAGATTTTTTCAGGTATTTCCCGCTCATGACAAGGAACACACCGTGTGTGTGACCGGTCGGCAGGAGTTGCTCACTTCTCCTTCTTCCACTTCTGAGAGGTCCGTATATGCTCTGCTTCATCTTTTAATAGACATTTGAGCTTAAAATAATCGATCGTTATCTACATGAAACATAGGGAGATAACGAACAGTATTCAATATCAAAGATCCATAAAACAATGCAAAACAGGAGCAGATGAAAAACGTCAGTCAGCATTTGACTCTATGATATTTTTTTTAACTTTATTTGCTGCTAAGAGGATTGTACCGGCCAAGAAGTAAAGAAATGATGACTTTAAACGAGACAGCTGAAATTCTTATTTCATCAACTTGTTTGTCAATAATATACCTCGTTTTAGAAATTGTTCATACGTAGAGCGTATATTTAATTGAAAAACATCATCATTCATATCCGTAGAAGAAAATATCTTATTCTTGTACTACTAAAAATTGATCAAATAAAAAACATATCTTCGACATTTTATTACGTTGAATTTTATATACAAATGCTAAAAGGAAATAAAGTTTAATATATCAAATCTTGAGAGAATATATTTTAGCAAAATCAGTTCGCTATATCGTAAATTCGTTATATCCGGAATTTAAATTAATGAAATATTGTCTATATATCTGAAGTCAAGATGAAGGTCCTACTAAAAATTGATCGTAAACAGACATGTTGATTTTTTTCTATTGTAAGGAAGAGATTTTGTATATATGTATTCTGCTTCATAAGAAGAGATAATAAATTCTGCTTCAAAAAAAAAGAAACAGGTCGGTTGGAAAAGAATCACCACAAATGCCCATCGGAATTCCAACACTTTGTATTTGAAGAGACTATATGAAATATATATAGATATAACGAACAGTATTGCAGCTCAGAGGTCCGTGTTTGCTCTGCTCCTGTTTTGTATTGTTTGATGAATTTTTGAGCTGGAATACTGTTCGTTATCTATATATGTTTCATTTCACCATTAATGTTACGTTGTCTTATATTATGAATGGTTTTTATCATTAACAGATGATATTTGTAAGGAATAAAAACTGGGCTTATTAGAGGTTTGTTTGTAATCTATAAGTTTTATAGAATAATATACCTTTGTTATGAAATTTAAATTTTAGGAACCATTTTTTATACTCTGCAATATACGGGAGCTTGAAGAGACTGTGCTTGGAAACACCCATAATTATAAACACTAATTTGAAAATCTACAGTTGAAAAAAATCTGAGTTTGGACTGTTTTAGCTTCTACCAACAGCCCATTTTAACATACAATCAGTGATATTCAAATATTGTAAGGATTCAGTGATTTAATGATGTAAGAAAAAATGATTCAAAGTTGTTTTTTCCAAATTATACCTGTAAAAATCATTTTAAAAAACAAATATAACAGGCTTAAAACAACCCTCATTCACTAGATTTTACCGCAATATGTATTTGGTTCTGTTTTACACATTTCAATCGAAAATCGAAAAAAATTAAGTACTTATTTACTATTCACAACTGCTCTATTTTGTATGCTTTGGCCTTTTCTTTTTAAGATAATTAAATTGGAAAAAATTAATAGGTGAAATGCCAATTCCTTTAACATAATATATTGCTTTAGGTTAAACGCCAGTCAAATTACCAAAAATGACCAACGGCCGACGGTTTTTTGCGCAATATTTCGCGCATCATAGTAAAATGAAGCATATTTACTCTTTTAAACCAATTTTTTTTCACTTAATTCGTAAAACTAAACAATATTAAGAAATTATGGGTTGAAAAATTTTATAATAATTTTAAATAACTGATTTTTAAAACGATTTTTAAACTGACATCGTAGACCATCGGCGGTAGTGTGTTATTAAGTCGGCCGTCCGTCGTTCGACAATAAGGGTGTCCAAAATTTGTTACGGTTAAAATCAAAAGTAGCTAAACATATGTTCGGTGATTTTAAAACATTGGCCGACTTGTAATTATTTAACCTATTAAGGATGCATAACACAAATGAAATTTTGATGCATGGGATCGATATATATTTTTTAAAAAGGAAATAATGTAAATAATTAATCCGTACAATATAAAGAAATCTTAAGTATTCTTTGCTGCTTAAAATATGCGCAATTTGTCGTTTTTATGCAAGTATATACAAAATTGTGCACACATTTTCAACATTGAATCACAATCTTAAAAAAGTTCTTGCCAATTTGCCTTGCAAAATTTGCTATCTGAATATAGATCTATGAAAAATATTGCTGATTTCTAAAGAAATTTTTTTTGTGTGTTGTTTATCCAAGTCATCGGTGTTCCTAGGAATTAATGTGACTGATCCGTGTCGCGCGAACTTTGTCTGTCCATTAAGTGAATGTAAGTTTTAGGACAAAAAAAAATTTAGTTTCGACCATTGGCTTAAATGTGACCTAGGCAATAGAGTTCTAATTCTTGAAAATTAAGATTAACTGGAAAAAAAATCAATTTTTCAGCGTTCCGGCTTTTGTTGAACAGCTTTTCGTAAGTGATGGAATTAAACATAATCGTCACCAAACAATACCATATGCTTCAAAATATCAATATTGCTAATAACTTTTTAACATGACTAGTTTTCCATTGATACATTGTAATTTTGTGTGTAAAAGTTGATGTCCAAAAGCAATTATTATGCATTGTTTCTCCTGTTGGTAAGTGTATTTTCAATCTTCAAGATTAAGTTGAATAATGCTGAGAATTTTAGAGAATATATGTGTATTTTTTTTAATTTTAAAAGTTGGCAGTCCGTTTTCTAAGAATTACAAAAAACGTTAAAAGTTTTTGAATGAGGTAATATTTTTTGTATTGCTCGTATTATTAGGACAATGTCATCACATATTGTTTTTTAAAAAAAAATAATTTTCAACCATATTTACAATATTTTTATCGAGAAATCATTTAATTCACAAGTTAGTTAATATGTTCAAAAAAGATTAAAATATATTACTCCAGAGGAGCTTCATTAAATACATATTTTCCATTTCTAAAGCTTGTTGACGGATGTTCTTCCTCATTTACAATTGATTAAATTCTATTAATGCTTTAGAGCTAATTTTAATGTAATTAAAACATTTTTCCAATTCATTATGAGCCATGTAGAGAAACATAAACATTTTAAGTTTCATAAAAAGAAATATAGAGATAACCTACAGTATTCAAACTCAAAGTTGATTTAAAATATACGGATCCGAAGCGCAGCAAACATAGACTTCTAAAACAACAGGTGGGTTCGTTTGCTGTGGAGGAGTGTGTTTTATCCTTCCGACCGGTCACACCCGCCGTGTGCTATTTGCCATGATTTGGAAAAAAAGGAAATAAACCTTAAAGGATTACATGTCTAGAACAATCTTTATGAAAACCTTTAGTCTGAACTCGATAATAATTTATTTCGATCAAAAAGCTTGCAAAATGATACATGTAATTTGAATTAAAAAAATATTTTGAAGATTGTTCGTAAATATTATATCCATTGTTACGGAATTTGCAATATTTTCACTTTAAGCTTTTTTATTGCTTCGCTCTACCTGTCCTGCTGGGCGTCCCCACTTCCCGGTAGTTGCTACCCAACACAAAATCTTCGTCAAGGACGTTTGCTCGGGGTAGTCTTACGACGACTTAACCGGACTGGCCCTTTTACCTGTATCAGAGAATGCTTACTTCGGAGCAGCTGTTTATCTGTCAATTACAACAGTCAACTCCTTGTCTGTGAATTAAGCCACGCCCACTTGGGATTTGGTGGATATTCATTAACCCACGAGGAGGGATTTATGTATATAGAGAGAGCAGAAATGAAGAAAATGGCAAGTAAAAGGATAATAAGCACTACATGTACGAATAACTGCAGGTAGTGTACAAATTGTGAAAGAAAAAGTGTATTACATAGAGCTATCTCTTTTTTTAATTTTCAAAATAAAAAAATCTTAAGTTTTTTGAGGATAATTAAAAAATTTATGCAGTTATCGTGTATATTGATTTTAACATTAAATTTTAAAGATAGATATATCTCCATGTACTGAGAAAGCATGTGGGGCATACGAGCGATGTGCCAATTTATTTAATGGATCAATCAGTTGCAGTACCACAGGTAATAATTTGTGTCGTTCACACAAGAAAATAATATCCTGTTAAATATAAACTTTAGGATATATGTTTATGTTAATTAATGGAACTTCTTTTTGTATCTGCTAACTTCAATTATTCCAAACAA